TTTTTGAAAACAGATTGTAAATTAGTACTTTTTCTTTTAATATCCTCCATCAGAGAAGGTTCGTATATGAGTATTTTTTTAATGCAGCGCTATAGCACTGTTTACAGCGGGCAAAAACGTATATTGTTGCAGGGCGTGCAACATGTGAAGTTTGTCACCCACTTTCAACTCAAGAACTGGGGAAGCTTGGAGGCTGGAATTTTGCGGGCTTACTTGTTACCTTTACAACTAAAAACACCTCTCACGCACGACTGAATCTCGTGTACGGACGTTAAAAAAATATGCATATTTTGTGACCGGAAAACGGTTCCGAGAACCAGACAAGCTAAAAAGCCGAGATTTTACACCGACACTCTCTGTCCATGTGTGAACTGAAATTTCAGCTTTAGTTGCTGCGCATACCTACAACACTCATACAGTCGCACCCAAATTCTTAGCTGACACCGTGCCAATTCGGAAAACTAATTCAGAAACCCAGGCTGGAACGCACCAGGCGACCCGGTGCGGTCATTTGTTTTTTTGCATCAAACGTGAAGTAATTAGGTCATCTACATGAACGATTGTTTCTTCACACCTACCTTTTGTGCTCAATGCCGTAAATAGTCGTAAATTTTGCATAAAAGGAAATAAATTTCAGTTTGGCGGTCGTTTTTTGAAAATAACTCAGCTGTTCAATCAGAAATTTTCCCGCCAAAAATTTAAGTGCCCGTACACGAGAAATACGAGTACCTAGAGGCTGAATTTGAAACCTTTAAGTTGTATTTGGTCAGGGATTATTCTTCTAAAATGTCAGCCTCCCAGCTTTCCTGGTTCCCAAGTTAGCCGTTTTCTTTCCAATAAATTTCACGAGGCCGTACGTGAGAACCACGCGTGCCTGAGGGCTGAATTTGGTAACTTTAAGTCGTACGTGGGCTGGAAAAATCCCTTTAAAATATCAGCCTCCCAGCTTTCCTTTTTCATGAGCTAGACTTCTTTTCGCCAAAAAAAATTCAAGGGAGCGTACGTGAGAACCACGCATGCCTGGGGCCTGAATTCGATAACTTTAAGTTGCATGTGTGCTGGAAACATTTCCCTGAAAATATTAGCCTCCTAGCTTTCCTTGTTCCCAAGTTAACGATTTTCGCGCCAGGAGCTCTCACGGGGCCGTATGCGAGAACCACGCACACCCGGAGGCTGGATTTAAAATCTTTGAGTTCTGTGTGGATGGGGAACATAGTCTCAAAATTTTAGCTTTCTGGCTTTTCTCGTTCCCGAGTTGGCAATTTTCCCGCCAAAACTTTTACCCTCTTGTACGCAGGGCCCAGACTCGCATGAGGGTTGGTACCGCTGTCCTGGGGTGGCAATTGCCCGGAGAACCCACTAGCAAAATTTTGGCGCCGAAGCTTGCTTGGTTGTCGAGTTAAAATACCCAGACAGACGAACACACACACAAACAAGCATACACGCACACAGACAGGGTCGTCGCGAAATGCGCTTTTGCAATTTGCATACAAGCAAAAACGCATAATTAGCAAGAAAACGCTAGCTGAAAATTTGTCACAATATTTATCACATGTCCGGGAAATTAATACCTAAACGAGTTTCGATTTGCGCTTGCGCTAGAGCATTTTAAAGATATTGCAGCGAAGTGGCTGTTACGCTTCCCGGAAAAGCTGCTAAGCTACAACTTTGCAAATTGCCTAAATACTGGTTAGAGGTTAAATTACTTTCACGTGGACATGGCAAACATTCAATTTTACTGCAAACTCAAAAGTGAATGCGTTTTGCGAACTCCTTTATCCTCTTCTAGCGTCTTGTGCTCAAATTTGTATTTGTTGATGAATAGTCGCTCACCGGAGAAACAGCCGGGCTTCATGCAAAAAATTGGTAATCATGCACGCTGCGGGTTCTTGGGGCTCCATGGTGCAACACTATCATCCTAGCTGCGTCTTTTCTTCCCGTATGCAACAAAAGGCCAAAACATTGCCAAAACGAGTCTATGTGCTAAATCTGAACGCAAAACCATTTCAACTGTTAACGATCTGACTGCTGGCAAAAAGTAGTGATTGCACCGACAAGCCTAAGGCTTTGTAACCTGGTTTTAAATTACTGCACAGTGTATCCGAAAAAGTTAAACATTCCATCAGCTTATTCATAAATGCCCTTGAGAGAGAAAGCTATCGGTAACCTCGTCATCTCTGGCTGCTACTGGTACTTGCTACAAAGAGACTACTTTCCATTTTTTTGTCTTTCACAAAGGATGAATAAGAGCGGGATTTTAACTTTTGATAAAGCTAGTCAATGGGTTTTGGCAACGAAAAGGTCAATGGCAAACTTTTTATTTATGAAACAGTTAAAAGGTAGGAGAGGCAAACAGTTTGAGCTAACGCAGATCGGATGCAATATGTTGTGCTGGTCTATAAAACAGAAGTGCCACTTAACAATCAAGCGAACGTCACCGACGATGTCAAGCGATTCATTGAGCAGATTCCATATTTTCTAAGCAATTCAGCAACCGGACGTGCACTTGGTAAACCAATCGCCGGAACTTTTTTCTATGTTAGTCTTTTTTTCTTAAGCATTTGGATCATTGAAACATAATTTGGTCTTTCGATAACGATTCTTAAATTTTTTCACACTCCTTCACTTATTACGCACCAGATTCAAGCTGACTGTGAATGATAGGTGAAAATTTTAGAGTGAAAATACTAATTCGGGGACCGGAAAAGTTAGAAAGTTAAAGTTTTAAAAAACTTCTTACGTTTGCCGGTTCCCGAAAGCGATTCATGCCAAAAATTTGGCATATCAGGCGTCTAGGCACGCAACAACGTAGGGCGACACCATTGTGGAGTAGTAAAATGCTCCTAAAGTTCCAGCCTCCCAGCTTTCTTAATTGCTGAGCAGAAAGTGGGCATAGTTCGTTTGCCTCTAAGCACAAACACACACACGGAAACCTTTCGAAATTAGACGTTTTTGCGTCTGCATAAGACGCGAAAACGCTCTAAAATTCTAAAGCAAAACTGTCTTTCATCAAATAATTAGCCGCTTTTAAGCGTTTTTCATACAAATGCAAAGATACATATCGGCAAGAGGCTGACTGTTTCTGTATGTTTGCGTGTTCGCACCTTTTGCCACCCACTTTGAACTCGAAATCCACAAAATTAGAAAGCTGAAACTTTGGGAGTAAGCGCGCCCACCACCTGTGCCACCCTTCAACTTTTGGCCGGAAAGCGATTTCGGACACCTACCAAGACAGAGAGCTGAAACTGTGCAGGGGGTTTTCCTGTGCTTTTGTAGGCTAAAGTTTTCAAGTTCAATACTTAGGTGTACGTGGTTCTCAGGTACACGCACGTGATGTTTTTGGCGGGAAAGCTGCTAACTCGGTAACCAATAAAGCTGGAAGGCTGAAATTTCGAGGGTGTGTCCCCCGTCCAACTGTAAATTAAAGATTTCAAATTCAGCCTCTAGGAATGCGCGGTCCTCACGTATGGGTACTTAAAGTTTTGGCGGGAAAATTGTTCACTGAACAGTTCGGCCATTTTCAAAGAAAGACCGTTAAAAGGAAGTTATTCATGTCCTTTATACAAAATTTGCGATGATTTACACCAGTGAGCGCACAAGGTAAATGTAAAGCAGCAAGCATTCATGCATTTAACGACCTAATTACTTCAAGTCTGATGCAAAAATATGTGATCGCACCGGCAAGTTTGGTGCATTCCAGGCTGAGTTGCTAATCACAAGAACGCATGTTCGCGTCAGCAAACCTGATACACGGCGCTACAGGTTCTACCCTTTCAAGCAATTTTGGCACTTAAGAAATTTCTATAAAATGCTCGGCTTCTTTTATTTTTGGGCGCCAATCTGCTTTCTTTTCTAGGCCTCTGCCACGGGCCTTAAAATTTTAACTGTTAAATGATTCGGTTTGACATATTTTCAAAAAACCAATACGAGCTTTTTATAAACTGTGATTTAGCACCTAATTCCAATTCCAGGTGACTTCGCAACGGACACTGTTCCAGGTGCAACCATCATATAAGCAAACGACAACTCGCCACCCTTATACACTTCCTTCGTTGTCCACAACTGTATATCATACTTTCGCTTTTAATGTCTTATTTTTCGTCATTATTTGTTATCAAATTAACCGAATGATTTGTCCGGGATGAACAAGTT